TGCTGGTGCGTAGAGAGTGCATTTGGGCACCCACACCTACACAGATATAAAACACCTGCACATCCCCATGCAGGCAAACAGCGCTCACACGCACATACATTTAAGGTCTCATGCACACAGGGCATTTTTGCAGCCACTTTTAGGGGCGTCAGGTGTTTTTTTTTACTGCTTTCAAATGGCCCTCATGTTATCCTATGTGTTCATGCACGCAAAGAATTTTAGAAGCTTTTAGTAGCAGTAACGTTTACAAGCAGGAAAAAAACCCAGGGCTAGTGCATCCAGGAAAAGCAGGGTTTTGGCAGAAAAACCGCTTGGTGTGTGTAAATGGGCCTACACATGTATTAACGCTAGGCGCGTTCAGCATTAAAGTGGTTGTTAAGGGTCAAGGTTTTTTTTACAGTCATGCATTCTATGTATAAAAGGTAAAAACCCTTCAATGTATAGCAGCCCCCCTAACACTTACCCGAGACCCATTTTGATCCAGTGCTGTCCACGAAAGCCTTGGTTTTCTGGAGACTCTCATTCCTGATTGGCTGAGGCAGCAGCGAAAGCTATTGGTTCCAGCTGCTGTCAATCACATCCAGTGAGCCAATCAGGAGAGGGAGGGGGTGGATACCAGGCAGTTTTATGTTTGAATGGACGCGCAGAGCCATGGCTCAGGAGCGTGCCTGCTCGGGTGCCCCCACAGCAAGCTGCTCCTGCAGGGGAAATAATTCCTTCTTGATCCCCCGAGAGGCAATCAGATATTACCTGGATCAACTTTACCCATGTATTCTATGTATCCAAGAAAGAATCCAGGCCTTTTTTTTAAAGCAATCCACTGAGCTGGCCAGAACAAACTCTTGAGAGTCTATTACACATTTTCACAGCTCTTACTCGGAAGAAACCTTTCCGTGTTTGGAGATTAAATTTCTTTTCGTCCAGACATAAACAGTGCCCCCTTGTCATCTGTGATGACTTCAGGGTGAATAGCTCTACACTGAGTTCACTATATGAACCACTGATGTATTTATACATGTTGATCATATCCCCCCTTAATCTCCTCTTCTCAAGAGAGAATAAATTCAGTTCCTCTAATCTTTCCTCATAGCTGAGCTCCTCCATGCCTCTTATCAGTTTGGTTGCCCTTCTCTGTACTTTCTCCAGTTCCCCAATGTTCGTTTTGTGAATTGGTGCCCAAAATTGAACTGCATTTTCCAAAGGAGGTATCACTAATGATTTGTACTGGGGAAAATGATATCTCTCTCTCTGGAGTCTATATCTCTTTTAATACAAGAGAGGATTTTGCTCGCTTTAGAAACTGCAGCTTGGCATTACATGCCATTATTAAGCTTGTGACCTGCCAGAACACCCAGATCCTTCTCCACCATTTATTCCCTCAGTTGTACCCCCCCTAGTATGTATGATGTATGCATATTCTTAGCCTCCAAGTGCATAACTTTACATTCATCTACATTCAACCTCATTTGCCACATAGTTGCCCATTTAAACAGTGCATTGAGGTCAGCTTGTAAATTGGAGACATCCTGTTATTCCACTGCACAGCTTGGTGTAATCTGCAAAGACTGAAATAATATTTTCAATCTCAGACCCTATATCGTTTATAAATATAATAAAAAGTAAGGGTCCCAATACTGAACCCTGGGGTACACCACTAACAACCCTAGACCATTCTGAGTATGAATCTTTAACCACTACTCTTTGAATACGATCTTTTAGCCAGTTTTCTATCCATTTACATATAGATTTTTCCAAGTCTGTAGACTTTACCTTACACATTAGCCATGTGTGGGGAACTGCGTCAAACGCTTTTGCAAAATCTAAATATACCACGTCCACCGCCACCCCCCTCTGTACAAGGTTTTGCTCAGTCCCTCATAAAAAGAAATCAGATTTGTTTGACAACTTCTGTCTTTCATGAATCCATGCTGTCTGTTGCTTAATATATTTTTTTCCAGCAGGAACTCATCTATGTGGTCTTTTATTATACTCTCCAGTATCTTCCCAACTATACAGTGAGGAATAGAAGTATTTGAACACCCTGCGATTTTGCAAGTTCTCCCACTTAGAAATCATGGAGGGGTCTGAAATTCACATTGTAGGTGCATTCCCACTCTGTGAGACAAAATTAAAAAAAAAAAATTCAGGAAATCACATTGTATGATTTTTAAAGAATTTATTTGTCTTGCACTGCTGAACATAAGTATTTGAACACCTAAGAAAATCAATACTAATGTTAATATTTGGTACAGAAGCCTTTGTTTGCAATTACAGGAGGTCAAACGTTTCCTATAGTTCTTGACCAGGTTTGCACACTCTGCAACAGGGATTTTGGCCCACTCCTCCACACAGATCTCCTCTAGATCTGTCAGGTTTCGGGGCTGTCGCTGAGCAACACAGATTTTCAGCTCCCTCCAAAGATGTTCTATTGGATTTAGGCCTGGAGACTGGCTAGGCCACTCCAGAACCTTGATATGCTTCTTACGGAGCCACTCCTTGTTTATCCTGGCTGTGTGCTTCGGGTCGTTGTCATGTTGGAAGACCCAGCCACGATCAATCTTCAATGCTCTGACTGAGGGAAGGAGGTTGTTGCTCAAAATCTCACAATAAATGGTCCCATTCATCCTCTCCTTAATACAGTGCAGTCACCCTGTCCCCTTCGCTGAAAAGCACCCCCAAAGCATGATGTTACCACCCCCATGCCTCACAGTAGGGATGGTGTTCTTGGGATGCAATTCATCCTTCTTTTTCCTCCAAACACGACGAGTGAAATTTAGACCAAAAAGTTCTACTTTGGTCTCATCTGACCACGACTTTCTCCCATGCCTCCTCTGGATCATCCAGATGGTCATTGGCAAACTTCAGACGGGCCTGGACATGTGATGACTTGAGCAGGGGAACCTTCTGTGCAATGCATGATTTGAAACCATGATGGCGTAGTGTTCTACCGACAGTGACCTTTGAAACTGTGGTCCCAGCTCTCTTCATGTCATTGACCAGCTCCTCCCTTGTAGTTCTGGGCTGATTCCTCACCTTTCTTATCATCAGTGATACCCCACGAGGTGAGATCTTGCATAGAGCCCCAGTCCGAGGGAGACTGACAGCCATCTTTAGCCTCTTCCATTTTCTAACAATTTTTCCAACAGTTGATCTATTTTCACCAAGCTGCTTGGCAATTGCCCCGTAGCCCTTTCCAGCCTTGTGGAGGTCCACAATGTTGTCTCTGGTGACTTTTGACAGCAATTTGGTCTTGCCCATGGTAGTAGTTGGCGTCTGACTGACTGTGGGGTGGACAGGTGTCTTTAAAGAGCTCAGACAGGTGCTACTAAGTTAGATTAATGAGTGGAGTAGAGGTGGACTTTTTAAAGGCACAGTAAATAGGTCTTTGAGAGCCATAATTCTTGCTGTTTCTTAGGTGTTCAAATACTTATGTTCAGCGGTGCAAGAGAAATAAATTCTTTAAAAACCATACAATGTGATTTCCTAAATTTTTTTTTTTTAATTCGGCCTCTCAGAGTGGGAATGCACCTACAATGTGAATTTCAGACCCCTCCATGATTTCTAAGTGGGAGAACTTGCAAAATTGCAGGGTGCTCAAATACTTCTGTTCCACACTGTAGATGTTAAACTAACAGGTCTGTAATTACTTGATAAAGATTTTGACCCCTTTTTAAATATAGGCACCACATTGGCCTTACGCCAATCCAGTGGTACTACGCCAGTCATGAAAGAGTCCCTAAAATTTAAAAAACAATGGCTTTGAAATGGCAGAGCTCAATTCTTTAACCACTAGCCTACAGGGCACGTATACCCCCTTCCTGCCCAGGCCAATTTCCATCTTTCAGCACTGTCACATTTTGAATGACAATTGCACGGTCATGCAACATTGTACCCAGATGAAATTGTTATAATTTTTTTGAGACAGATAGAGCTTTCTTTTGGTGGTATTTAATCACCCCTGGGATTTTATTTTTTCTTAAACAAACCAAAAACCACTGAAAATTTTGAAAAAAAAATATTTTTTCTTAGTTTTTGTTATACAATTTTGTAAATAAGTGATTTTTCTCCTTCAAATGGTCAGAGTTCCTCCTGCGCTATGAAAATGAAAGTATGCAACCTAGTCTAAAGCTGCCAACACTCAAAAACTGATACCAAAACAGTGTTCGTGATACATAAAAAATATAAGTAGTGTAGCGCTCTTAGCAAATAAATACGTGCCAAATATACTCAATAGAATCCTAAAAATAAATAAATAAATATATAATAATCCTTCATATATAATAATAAAAGACAGATATGATTAGTGCCAAACTAAAATCTATTACCCACTTCATATATATTACAAATAGTGAGTGCCTATTGGTAAATATCACAGTGCACACACACCTATAGCAAACACGAATAATCAAAAGAGCTATATCCAATAGAAAACTATAAAGTATAATACACAGTGCTCAAACAGTGCCAAAATAAAACAGTGTCCTCTCAGTTGAAAAAAACTCTTAGCAATGTCCTTTTGTGAAAACAATATAATCATGCAGTGTGAAATGGTGATACATCCGTGATTGTGTCAAAAAAATTCTTCTCCTAATAACGGCTAGATTGCCTCCTCACCTCCTCCCAATGACCCCAAAGGGCCAACAGGCTTGCAGGATCTCCCTGGATCCTTGGTTTATAATGGCCAGCAGCTTCCTTCCTTTACTGGGTCTCCTTATTGGGGCTCCTATCGCCCCTGGACAGCCAAGATATTTTCTGAAGAATAATAGCTCACCAGTCCAATGAGCCAAGAAGAAACTCTGTGCAGTACTTCAAACCACTTTCTTTTATTAGACAAGTTTTAAGAGTAACACTCACATTTCAAAGCAGTCTTCCCTCCTCACCGATGTGTGGGTACACTGCATGTGAATGGGACTTCCTGGGTGTAGCAAAATGGCGTCGTACGCCGGAAGTGCGTCACCACTGGGCACTGATAGGCTGCACTGATGGACACTGATAGGTGGCACTGATGAGGAGGCACTGGTAGGTTGCACTGATGGGCATTGACAGGCATCACTGATGGGCACTGAAAGGCAGCACTGATACATGACACTGATATATGGCACTGATAGGCGGCACTGACTGGCACTGTTAGGTGGCACTGACAGGCGACACTGACTGGCACTGTTAGGCAGCACTGATAGGTGGCACTGATTGGCATTGATAGGTGGCACTGACTGGCACTGATGGGTGACATTGAAAGGCAGCTCAGATGGGCACTGATATGTGGCATTGATGTGCACTGGTATGCACTGATATGTGGCATTGATGTGGCACTGGCACGTGGCACTGATGGGCACTGGCAATGATGAGCACTGACAGGTGGCACTTCTGGGGCCACACTGATCATCAGGGAACACTGATCATCAGTGCCCTGATGATCAGTGTACATGTCCCCTCCGCGGAAAGCCGATTACCGGCTCTGCTCTCCTCTCGAGCTGTCAGCGTGACAGCTCGAGAGAGAAGTGCCGATAACCGGCATTTTCGTGTTTACATGTGATCAGCTGTGATTGGACTCAGCTGATCACATGATTGAGCCGACATCTTCGGCTCTTTCCGTGATCCGCTGTGTCCGAGGGACACAGCGGACCGGCGATCGCTGCGCATGCGCAGTGAGAATGGTAGGACGTCATATGACGTCCTATCAGAACGAGAGAACCACCTTGCTCCCGTCATTGTACTATAGGGTGGGCGGAAGGTGGCTAAGGACCCGTGGGTGTATGCCATCCAGTCCAGGTGCTTTATTCACATTTATTCTGTCTAAATATTTCTGGATCATATCAATACTGAGCCAATGTGGATCATCTGGAGCTGTGTCAATACCATTCCCATTATAGACAGGAGCTCCCCCATGCTTCTTTGTATACACAGAGCTGAAGAAGATATTTAATAAATTCACCTTCTCTTTGTCTCCAGTCACCCACTCTAGATTATTTTGTAAATGGCCTACATGCTCGGACTGGACCGTTTTACTATTAATATAATTGAAGAATGTTTTGGGGGTTGGTCCTGCTATCTTTTACAATCTGTCGTTCGTTTGCAATTTTTGCGGCCTTTATTTCCTTTTTGCATATTCTGTTATATTCTTTGTAATGTTTAAATGATGATAGCATTCCTTCATTTTTATATTAAATAAAAGCTCTTTTCTTATTATCTATAGCTTTTTTAACTTTGGCCGTAAGCCACATAGGTTTGATTTTTAGCCTTTTAAACTTGTTACCCATGGGAATATATTTTGCAGTGTGTTCACATACAGTCATTTTGAAGAACTCCCATTTCTGTGCATGAGCTGATGGAATGCTGGTTTTCTCTACCATTACCATTCAACGGAAGCCGGCCATTAGACTAGCTTCTGTTGAACAGTTAGTGGTACACACAGACCAGAATTCAGCTGGTTCCTGCTTTATACCCAGCTTTACATGTGTATCTTAAAAAAGAAAAACCTAAAAGATTATACACTACACTGCCTTTACTGGTATAAAAGGCAGCTCAACAAACTATTAAATTGTGAGGATTCAATATGTAAGGCTTGTTCTAACATAATATAATGCCTCATTATAAAAACATTTGGAAATCTGCTATGTAACACTACCCATATCCAAACAGAGAAGTAATGAATGCATTTACCTTTGCAGCTGAGTGTAATCCAATGTGATCTTCCATTTTGGCTTACACGCTTAGTTGACAGTATTTCTTTGCATTTATTGAAGAAAGCCATGCTATGTTGGGAACACATCACTTACCACTACTTTGCTTATGTATTGGGATGTCTTCACTTTTTAGGGCATAGGGGTTGATTTATTAAAATTGGACAGTGCAAAACCTGATGCAGCTCTGCATAGAAACCCATCAGTTTCCAGGTTGTTTGTCAAAGCTTAAGTGAACAAGCTGAAGTTAGAAGCTGATTGGCTACCATGCACAGCTGCACCAGATTATGCACTCTCCAGTTTTAGTAAATACAACCCCACTGAGTTGCTTTAATCTGCATAGATCCACACAGGCTCAATGTGAGAGCACATAGAACACGTTTTCCTATCTGCCCTGTTCACAACACTGTCTATGGATGGTTTGTGGTGCATGGAGTATAAACACAGAAATGTTGAATGTTTATGTAATGCACCTCACAATATTTCATGGTACTGCAGCATGACGTAGTGCATAATGTAATGGTTGTGCGTACTGGACACACGAATAGCTGTGTGTGTAGCAGCAATTTTGTTCACGTAGCAAGTCTCCAATGCCACTTCTTCATAAAGAAGCTTTGCACAGTAAAAAGGAGATGGTGGCATTTAAAGGATTACTTGCTTAATTAACCTAATCTAGGTGACAATCGCTCTCAGGCTGCTGGCACCTAGATTGTGGTCCCGCAAGAAGGAAAAGCTTTGTGCAGCTGAGAGTGGCATTGTTACGTAAGTGACAGTGCAGTGTGAGATTGGCCAGTCCTTTGTCACAAGTTTGTGAGAAGGGCAGGGGTTGGGCACTGCGTTTGTCACACATAGAGGTAAAATAAGTGTAATTTTGGTATATTTCAATAAAGTAAAAAAAAAGAGCGCAAATAGTAAACAATGTGTTGCATTCTAACAATGTATCACACCGATCCTCACTGTCCCTATACATGACATGCCAGCACTCAAGGTTTAGTGTGTAGGTTGGTGTGAAAGGGTTCTAAAGCCTGGCATATTTATGATTAAATATAATCAAATGTTTTACTCTAGCTGATTTATTTATTCTGTGCACCCCTGTAATTATGTACAATACAGAACAGTCAACCCTACCAAAGAAAATCTTTCAGCTGCTATTAGCTCATATATTATGGCTATCTCTAGGCTGTCAACCATGTAGTGAAGACACTATATTTTCATATAGCGAGTCCCTGTAACTTACATGAATAACTTCATACTGGAGCAACTGCCAGTTTCTGAGGGGGGGATGTTCTTGGGTCACTCTTCCTTAAGGTAAAAGTTTGGCAAGTACAAGACAGAAACTCATTCCCATCTGCAAAGACGCTGCCTTCCCTTAAGACGTCTGACACGGGCACTCTGGGAGCAAGAGATGGACAAGACACTGCACCCCGCCACAAAGCACTACAGAACAGATAACATTTTGTTTGGCAGTATGCGACTGAAGGTGCAGCTCTCTAAATAGACAGTCAGGCTTTGTTAATATAAAACAGCTTTAAAGTCATCTCCCAAGTATATTACTCTTGACAGGCTTACAATTAACAAGTCAGTATTACCAGTGCTACTGAAGTGCATGAACAGATCATTTGATCTCTCAGGGAGATGAAAACAAGTTAATTAGTAGAAATGTACGCTCTCGTCAACCATCGTATGTCCAAGGAGAGTACAAGCATTACAGTCTATCACTCTACTTGAATTAAAAAATAAATTCAACAACCTTCCTAACAGGTCAGCAAGATGTAAAAATCACTTGTAGAGATTACAGATGACACCAGGGAGGCAGGAATAGACAGAGGATGTTCTGTATTTTAAAACACGCTAAACTAATTTAGGTAACTAAAAAGTAAACATGGACAAAGAATAGGCCATAGTAAACAGAAGGTTGCAGGAAAACATGGGTTGAAGGAAAGAAAATCGCATGCAAAAAAATCTTACAGGCTGGTTGTACTGAAGTCAATGGATGGGTCGACTTCTGTACAACCAGTCTAGCCATAGATGGATTTAATCTTGGCCTGTCCCTCCTGAACCAGCTGAGATTCGATCCATCTATGGCCGATGTGAGTTGCGCTGCTGCATTAGAGGTCAAAGTACAGGCTGTACTTTCTGGATAACAAGGCTAGCAACAAAAATTATTAGGGCCCATTTACACTTGCGGGCAGTAAAAACAGAAAAATGAGCACCTCCCCCTCAAAAAAAAGTTATCCCTCCTTGTCGCGTTCAGTGGATAGGACCACTACAGAACGCGACTTGATAAAGTGAACAGGGTTGCGCTATGGTTGCACTGTAGCATTTGCAGGGTTTATAGGCAGTGAGGGGGGGGCATATTGCCTCTCCGCTGCCTTTCAAATGCCTCTGAAAAGCGATCCACCACAAATCACATTTCAGAGCGGTGATAAGGCATTTCGTAGTCTAAGGCACAGCAGCTTCCACCGTCTCTCTCCTAATCAGCATTGCATAGGGGTGAGGCGTTTTGTAGTTTACAGATGATAGCATGGAAGTCAGATAACATTTAAAATTCAGTTCAATACACTGGAAGCTGCAAGGTCAAAAGGGTTCTAGCAGGATCAGTAGCTATATGAGCAAAGAAAAGAAGACTACTGCAACCACCACATCCTAAGATTGGTAGGTTGCAATATATGAAATTCTTGGTTTTGTTTTTTTATACTTTTTATCTAAGTCTCTAAAAGCATGCAAAACATTTCTACTTGGTTACCACCAAGCTGAATCACAAATTCTCTTATAACTATCAGGGATTCTAGTGGTGAGAATTCTTAACTATATCAAACTTCTAAGGTGGTTTAAAAGCACAATGTGTTCTTCAAAAAGACTTCCCATAAGGCAATACAAAGAGAAATGAGATAGTCAAAGTGAGAGAAAACAATATGGCTTACTACAAGGAGGTGGAAGCATAAAATAAGAAGAAGCTGATTGGTGTGTTAAACAATGGATACCTACCCAAAGCTAGCTGTGGTTGAGAATGGCCTTTAAAATATAAGATACACTCCACTGAGTTAAATGTACCCTGTGGCAGCATGCTCTGTACCCGAGTCATAATATTTTATAAAAGGCTGGATGTCATTTAGGAGGATGACAGGTGCTATCCTCCTCACAAAGAATTGTGTATACTCCAAAACCGTGTTTATTCTTAGATATTAAATTGAATCTATAGATAAAGAGGAATTAACAGAAGCTGGTTGTAGATAACACATTTCCAATATCGCCTTTTGTTACAATAGAAGTGCTACTTTAACAGTATACCTCATCCATGTCAACTCTGAGGGGTCTTAATTGACCATCACTTTTCACGATGGAGACGTACACCTCTGTGGGGCAGAAACACATTTTAAAGCATCATTTTTTATAATTGCATTGACTGTTTCTGTTGCTCTAAGACAGGAAGGGTTTTCATTTGTTATCTAAGCTGTAGGGCTTCTATGTCTACTGTTGACGTTTAGGGAGGAAAGAGGAGAAATCAATGATGTAGTAACTGTGAGGTCTTGGCCTGAAAATTTAAGTTGTAAAAGTTTTCTACAGTGGCCACATTAAGTCGGCCATTAAAGATACGGTGGACCTGCATACAGCTTAAAAGTTGTTCAGTGAGAACATCAACTACTGATTAATTTGAACAAAAAATCTTTTATGTCAGATTTAGCGGTTGAAAGAATATTACATAGACACCATGACTGCTTTTTTCATGGCAAGATATCAATTCTATGGAATATGAAAAAGTTGAAAAACTATTCAACATAGAGGATATATGCATAACAAGTTTCATTATTTGATAAATTAGGAATAACTAGCAGAAAATGGAAGCTTTATGAAAAATGTATCAACCACACACAATACTGTTCAGTGTGCTTACTGGATAGATACAGCATGATGCAATGTTCACTCTACACAGTCTACCAAAAGTAAGGGGTTAATTAAAGGGTCAGTTTGGACAGTAGAAACAGTTTAACCTTCATAAATAGCCTTCCAAAGCCCACCCAAGGTACTCTATTCACTTCAGTAGAATGCAGGGG